CAGTCCAGTCCAGTCCAGTCCAGTCCGGTCCGGTCCGGTCCAGTCCAGTCCAGTCCAGTCCGGTCCAGTTCCGTCCAGTCCAGTCGATCAGTAATCAACAAACATCTGCTGACGGCTCACCGATCTTGTGGAAGAGCTCGGGCAGCTGAACTTCCACCTTCTCTCTCTGGAACATGTGGTACTCAGCCTGCTCACAGATTGGAGGAATCTGGTTGAACTGCCGGGCCACAGAATACGCCTCCTACAGGAAACGGAGAGGAGAAGCGCGTGACTCCGACAGGCCGAGAAGACTTCAGCATCAAACGTCACCATCATTCAGTTCACTTCCTGTCTGATCACAGCTGTTAGCAATGTTAGCATCACTAGCACAGAAGCTCAGGCTACAACAACCGTCTTCTGTGTGAGTGTGACTTCAGTCTCACCATGATCTCCATTGGACTCCAGCGAGATGTTCCCCAGTACATGGCCATGCCCTGGTTTATAACGTGGGTCATGGCTCGGACAGTTTCTGCAAGAGAAAAGATATCACATCTTTACGGAGCGTCCTGACGGAGCGTCCTGTCGGAGCGTCCTGACGGAGCGTCCTGACGGAGCGTCCTGTCGGAGCGTCCTGTCGGAGCGTCCTGACGGAGCGTCCTGACGGAGCGTCCTGTCGGAGCGTCCTGACGGAGCGTCCTGACGGAGCGTCCTGTCGGAGCGTCCTGTCGGAGCGTCCTGACGGAGCGTCCTGACGGAGCGTCAGCAGCAGAGGAACTAACTCTCCACGTTTTCCAAAACCGTTTTCCAAAACCGTCACAGTAACACGTGTTACTGTGATAAACAACATCACTCTCCAAAGGCCACCTCCCACTCTTCTCTGGACTGTGTACTTGTGTGTACTTGTGTGTACTTGTGTGTATTTCAAGGCAGCAGAGTCTGTTACTTCACACCCACACCTGACACCATGTGACACCAGTGATATCTCACGTTGCTCCGCTGTAATTTCCTGTGACAATTACTTTCTTTCTGAGCAGAATGTCAGAGCTGTGAGATAACGATCACGGCGTCGGCCAATCAGCCGTCACTCATCCATCCACCAAACCACTCCTGTCTAAAACCTGGGCTCATCCATCAGTGGGTGTCTGGGTTCTAACAAATGGTTCCAGACAGTTCTAAGAACCGTTTCCACGTCAACATCAAACGCCACCCGCTGCAACTTATGACGGACGAGACTGAGCCAGAACCGACGGGTTTGGTGGTGGTGGTGGTGGTGGGGGACCTGTGACCTCAGGCTGACCTGGGGAGGAGCCGTACCAGTGGAACAGACGGACAGAGCCGTGGTCCGTGGTCCGTGGGCTCCAGCGTCAGATCCTCTGCCTGTTGTCAGTGTGGAGGCAGGAGCCAGGACGGCCCACAGCATTTAAAAATAGACCTTTTAGTTACACAAGGTTTAAGTCTCCACGCTGCAGTAGCCATAGAGACAGGAAGAGGAGCACCAACATAAGGAAGACGCCACTGAACGGTACCTTCCATCGGTGTGTTGGGGTCCGGTCTATTGGCGAAGACCACGTCCACGTAGTCTAACTGCAGTCTTTCTAGAGAAGCCTTTAAACCTAGGACAGGAGCCAAGAAGAAGACGTCAGTCTCTGTGATGTCATCCAGCGTTCCCTCCTCCACCAACGGTCGTCAACACGTTTCCTCTAACCTTCAATGATGTGTTTCCTGGATAGACCTCTCTCAGTCTCTGCTCTGTCAACAAGAACACACATCCAATCAGACCTGCCTTCAGAACGACGTTCCTCAGAACGACGTTCCACAGACTCTATATATATAGATATTTGAAATATCACACTTTACACACAGACACACACACACAGACGGTGAAACTTACTTTCCACCCCAGAAGATCTTTGTTGTTATTACTAGACTTGAACGTCTGAAAGTGGAGAAACACAACAGACCTTTGACTGACATGGTTGAAAGGAAGACTCCCATCAACCCCCCCCTGCCCCCCCC